ACGCCACTGGGTGGGCAATTGTGGCGACTGGGTGGGCATTTGCCCACCCAGTGGGTATGTTAGAGGAGGCCCTGGATAAAAAGGTACAAGAATGGTGGCTGGCTACTTAAAAATATTGTTGTGCTGGTGTTCCCCGCCCATAGCTAAATGAACTTTAGGTAATTGGCTAATTGGCTTTAGGGAGCTCTTGAAGCGATTCTGAATCTGATGTATTTGTTGGTGTTGCTGACGCCTGCTTCACTGACATAAAAGCTAAAAAAGCATACTCAGCATCGCAAAAAGTGGGGGGGGTCGACACCCCCAGTTTTCAAGAGTGGGGGGGTCACGACCCCCCCGACCCCCCCGTCGGCGACGCCCCTGTACCCTCACCACCGCTACGGAGATCTTTCAAATTCGTGCACATCTAAATGCCCAGAACACACATTTTCTTGCAACTTATTTTTTTTAGAATGACATTAAAAAAACATAAAATCGGCTCTCACCTCGAGACGCGTCCACTCAGCCACAAGACAGAACAAGGAAAGATGGCGCCCGGAAAACCTCGTCGGCTGGTCGTGTCGCGAGCGCCATCCATTGGATAAGTTTGGCACAATTCGCCCTGATACAACTTGGACATGATACAACTCTCCCCGCTCTCCCCTACATACAATTTTCGTGACCTAGGATGACCTGGCCTTGACCCTAAAAATTCGAAGTAAAAGTTCGGTACCCTCAGGGTATCTAAGGCATCCGTCAAGGAGTGCGTAAACCAAAAATGAGCATGATCGGACCGGCCGTCCGGTGGTCAGAGCCTAAATTGTAAACTAGCAAAAATGTCGATAACTTTTACTGTGACCTGACCTGTGACGTCATCAGTGACCTCGAGGTCAATGAAAATAGGTTTCGCTCGACAGTTTTTCCAGGGCTATCAGACGCCGTTTGAATTTTGACGATCGGCCCAGTAGTTTCGGAGATAGGAGGGGGGCTCTGGAGAGCCCCCTCCCCAGTCACTCGCGTTATGGAAAATACCTACCCCAGTCATGCGTGGGTTAACAAAAATATGAAATCCGGGAGGATAAATTAAATATAGAAATTGTGGCCAACAGAACATTATCAGTTGCGTTCAACATACTCGTAAGCATATTCACACACCCAGCTTACATATGAGCCATGTAATGATTATTTTTGATAAACATGCTTAAGTTATGAAATCATCTGAAGTGTTTGTAAAGTTCCACGATACGGATCTAATGTCCTGCTATGCATTATGACCATTTCTGGTCAGGTCATGTCTTCGAACATAGGCCAAATTTTTCAAATGACCTTTAAAGATCAACTTTTGACTCATTCGAAGCGTTTTGATAAGAGGAACACGAGGCTGGTAAAATTAATTTCATGCAAGTTTCAAGCTAACAACTCTTTTAAGTGTTAGTGGAAAAGCAATTGGTTTTCTCATAATACCGATGGTGGCAGCTGTTGTTATTTACATGCTAAGCCGTTGACCTTAATTGAATCTGACAATATTGTTCAGAAATAGCGGTAAACGAGCTGATTGTTGTGTTAGGTTAGGCTCTTTCGGTCGATATCAGAGTGGGAAGGATGATGGGAATTAGGGGGAGACCTGGGCGGTAGTCCTGGACCTCATGCTCCGCTGGGGCCGAGCCCAACACGTGGGTTGGATTGCCCTGACACATGGATAGCCCTAGGCGGTGTTTCATGGCTCCGCGCTGCAGCACGCTGCGCTGCGCTGCTGCATTGTTGCGGCGGTTGATATGAATTCGGCTCCACGCTAGCGTTGCGAGCTTCCGAGTCTGTTGATGTTTCCATTGAAATTGGAAACCCAATGCACCGCGCGGTGCGCGCAACGCACCCTGTCTAGGCAAAATTTTACCTTCGATGACCTCTAAAGACATACCTCTGGCTATGACCCGATCCAAAGTTGGCTGAAGTATTGTTTTCTTCTTTTTGCTACTTTTGACGCTACTTCGAATACCACTTAAATGCCCAAAGCCGAGTTAGGTATAAGAATGATGCTCAATCCCCATTTCCCTCCAACAGAGCGTGAGAGTCTAGGTATTCCTGTGGGGCACGGGCTAACAATGACTATCTCATAATCATTGTGGCCATGAACATCTACTGCCATTCTTTAACACCGGTTTCGCTGCGCTAAGCGGTGGCCGTCCCGTTTGTTGGATTCTACAGCTGGCTGGCGGAAAGCGTTACCGGCCGGCCGTCCACCGCCCGCGGGCCGGACCGAGCGGTCCCGCTGACCCTACCTGACCTGAGCCTGGCGCGATATGGGACAGGCAGACGGGGGTTCGGCTCAGCGAAGGCAGCGCCCACTGGTGCTGGGGACTTTTTTAATAGACCTACTGTACAGTAGGTCTACAAAAAAAGTCCCCCGCTCCAGAGGCGGCCGGCCGGCCGAACCCCCGGATTCCAGCCCAGACTCTATTGCGCAGGCCGCGGCAGCGACACGGGTCAGGTCGCGGCGCCCGGCGAGTGGGTCAGTTGGCGGCGGCCGGCCGTGGAGTGAGGGCGCCGTGTGAGGGGCGCAGAGATGCCGCAGTGCAGAGGAGGGGGAAGATAGTGACTCTGCACTATGCCGGAAATGATGCCTTTGTGATCTAAATTAAACACCTGCAGACGCAGTGCATATCCTCCCTCGCCCCATTCCTATTTTATCATAACCCTTCAATAAGCCGTAATGACCATTCAACGCAAGCAAGCAAACAAAACAACCCGTTTAGCGGCGACATCATCTCGGATAAAAAAGCGACAATGATGATTAAAATAGACATAGCGCGAGAGCAAATCGAGGGGTATATATGTATCACATACCCAGCATTTTATTCCCATCTAGCAAATCAAGATTGGGGATCTTGTCCAACAAGTCAGCGGCCGTTCTAGACACAGATAAATGCTTTGTTTTCGGTTGCATCATTATCTGCAATAATTCGAAGCTAGGTGGGGCATTCCACGTCAAATCAAACACCGAAATCCGTCACCCCCTTCGATTTTTCTGAAAATTTGTAGGCAGACTGGGCATGGTCCAAAACTGAGTTACGTATAATATTTTCGAAATTTGATAACATATCGCTGAGATATAGGTCATCGAATATAGCCAAAAATGCCACACATCAATTTTTTAAATGTCTATAACTCTGGTTCCTTTTCTGGTATCAAAATGATATTAACAGGGTCTTGTAGGAAATTGATAAGGCTTTGATTTTTAATTATAAAATTGAATTGAAGTGACCTTGAAATGCATTTGACCTTGAATTAAAACAGAAAAATTTAAATAGCAAAAAACACGTCACCTTCGATTTGGGTAATTTTTACATATTATGTCCGCCACAATGTTCCTAACCATCTGTGAAAAAATTGGAGTGGGCCATTCATAACTTTAGCAGTAAACGCCATTTTTATGTAGCAATGTCAGGCTTCCGCGCGTGACCTTGAAATGACTGGCACGTTGGCGTGTGGAGAGAGGGAGTGGGGAGGGGCTTGTGTTTGGGCGTGTTGAGTGGGGGCGTGTGTGTGCATATGTGTGAAAATCTCCCTTTGTATCTCCCCTGGCATACACACTGCAGCACATGACGCATGGCAATGGGGATGTGCCTTCGCATTTTTGGCATAGGAATACAATGAACACGGATGCACTTTTATTACATGGTTTCTCACACACACTGCTGCGATACTGATTTCACAACTGATTCAATTCTGACATTACAGGAATCGGAGTACTCTGCCACTTGCACCAGTCGTGTGTTAACAGGGCGAACAAAGTGAATCTTGTGAGTTCCTTTAAGGGGTTTCGACACCCCAAATCTGTCGGAAAGTAAGTCATTTTCTTGCTGCCATTCATGACATGTGAAAAATTGAACACTGATGGATGGTATGTGTTCACGAGCAAAAAGATAGAACTGTCGTGGGGTGACGATCTGGTTGTCGCCAGGCCTCTGCAGGCTTGCCCTCGCAGCCAATCGCTTCAGCGCTCCTCCAATGCCATCACACGGTCCCTTCCCATGTGACGTGGCGAAGAAGTGCCATTCGGCGGGAACCCCAAAATCCTCAGCGTGGTGACAAAGATTCACAAAATTTTTCCGATTCTTATACTGTCCCGCACAGCCATCTGAAAAATAGTACACTTTTTTTGGCGTGTATCCCAGTCTCTCTGAAAGAAAACTCATCAAACCTTTCTGAAACAAATGAACGGCGACTGTGTCGTGTGTCATGCATTCAGAGATGGCGACATAAGAGAGATGTTTTGTTTGGCCATCTTCAAGCCAATAGCAAACAAACGGGTGCACGGTCACTTGGTCACTGTTCCAATGATATGATTGAACCTCATCCTGAACAACAAAGCTATAGTTCTCCGAAAAGTCACCGATGACTACAATCTCTCCATCAGCTAGATCGCTGGTTTTGAGCCTCTGCAGGAAGGATGCCTGAGACTTCGCAATAAAATCGTGAATAATGAGACGCTCAACGTCAACGCAAAAGTCTTCGATGAACTCACAGGTCTGTTTTTCGACAGTTTCCAATGTGCACCTGTCTGTCGTTCTCCACTTTCTGAATTGCACCATTTCAATCATATGTTTGTCAAACACATCCTGAACATGTTGCTCCAACCGTTTCGTTCCTGCGCACTCTTCACATTTTCTAAATATGCAGTCTAATGCTGGCGGGTTGCACATAACTTTTGCTAAGCAGTGCTGATAACTAACCAAAATCTCTCCTTCTTTGTTTGCAAGCTTGTTCAGTTGGGAGCCCTCAAGCATCAGCTTCACGTTTTGGTGGAGACTACAAACACAGACGCTATGCGTTCCGCTGGCCCCGGCCAAGACACACTGAGGTGGGCGGAGCTCAGCAAATTTCGACAGTCCGATTTTACTTTCTGGGTGTTCGCTTTTAAAACATCGATGAGCTTCCTTCAAATTGCAAAGCATTAAACGTTTCTGCACGTGTTCTTTTTTTTCCTTCAGCATTTATAATGGACAAAAAATCTTTTTTCCCAGGCATCTGACGACTGATGTCGTCTCGGAGGTAAAATAACTTAACCCGTTTCTCCGTCTCATCGCACAGTGATTTTCCAGCTTTCTGACAAGGATCGCTAACAGAGCCCTTTTCCTCTTGCAACCTCTTCGCTGCACAAGCCATATGAACTGTCGTTTCGAATACGCTTGCTATCTGTCTGGCGGACCATGATGCAGGTACTGTGGTGAGTATACGAAGTTTCTCATGTCTGTCAGTGCTTTTGCTAAATTTTGCTTTTAGCTGCTCGAGCATTTCGTCATAAAAACCCGCTTTCTCAGTTGCATCATCGCTAGCAGTCGCCACCCTGTCAGTTTCTGAGTTACCTTGCAAATGTGATAATTTTGATTGCACGATGCCTGCGATTTTTTTCGTTTTCTCCGTAACATAATGCTCTTGACCTAGTTTTCTTTTAGTTAAAGGTGATCCTCCGAGCAAACCGAAAGTTTCATTTAACACGTTGACCTCGTGTGCCGCCTCCCATTCTTCGATGCCGCTTGCAGGACTGAGGACGGGGGTGGCAGGACTGCTGGACGAATCATGGCGGGTTCCGGTTTTGTCGCCACTGTTCGCAGTACAAGCCGCATCCGTTGTTTCGATAACTGATAATTTTGCTAGATCTTTGCGACACCATGTGCAAAGAAGCGACGCAGCATTTAAGCCGAAGTCAGCACATTTTCTCAATTGCACCTCACTAATGCGCCTTAAATTTCGCTTCCTTTTCTGTGCTGGATGGCGCTTAAGCGGGTCACAACAATACAGCTTGTTGCTTAGTACTAATTCTTTTTGGCTGTCGGCCTGGGCCATGTCTTCTGCGTTGATGTGTTATCTGCAATAGAATGCATGCAATTATCCCAAGGTCGATAAGAATGCTAATGAAATAATGCATGAGCCCTTGCCTTATTGCAACAAAAGTTTGCATTTGCAGTTTGCATTCACGGTACCTATGAACAACACAACGTGAGAACAGTTAACCCGCGCCGGGCAAAGGGAAGGGTGTTTAATTAACCCCCTTCACCTCTGCTCCTAGGTCACGTAGGGACACGGAATATGGGGCATTCGAAAGAGCGTCAAAAAAAAAAAACACGACGAAAGTACTCCGTCATTTTTTTTAGGTCAGGTACCTAAAAGGTCAGTTCACCAGAGTTCATCAAAGGCCAAATTTTGCCTTCTCTAATCGTTTGACAAATCGGCTCACAACTCAGCAACAAATAGAGCTGTAGCGCCGCAAAAAGCGCATTCGATAGCTCTTTAACGTCTTTTCTGAAATAACTTATCAGATTCAAACTAAATTCAATGGTTCCAGATTTCTTTACGATTTTCTTTTAAAAACTTTTGACTTTAGAACGGCATAACGCTGCTTTTGACAGCATCTTGCTACCCTCGTTGAAACACGAACAAACTTTTAAGGGACCCTTACAAGGTCATTTAAAATTTGACCTGAGGTCAAGGTCATGTCCTAGTCGGAAAAGGCTATGTCGCATATCAGTCGATCTGTATCGTCGATCTGAAAACATTTCAAGTGTTTTCATCGCCCTATACATGTCTCTATGAAAATGCATTGTAAAAAATACTGCTGGAGATCTTTCAGGACCTGGGATGACGTCAGAGACATACAGATGGAGCAGTCACGATTGCAAATTTCCAATTTAATGTATCTTGACCTTTCGTGACCTGAGATGACCTCAGGGGCAAAAGGAGGGGCTACGGGCTGCAATTTTCCGACTAAGTGCGTCTTGTTAACCTGTAAGCCGAGGTTTCAGGCCGAGGTTTCAACGGCATTCGTCCAAAACAGGCGCCTTTGAATTTTCTCCCACTAACCTATAATGGAGAGGGCGCAAAATTAGCCTGACCTTAGGTCACCCGGATGTAAAGGATTCCTAGATATACGTTTGATAGATGCTGTTACTCAATTGCTGACAGTTTCAAAGTGATCGTTTAGTTGGTGTAGCTATGGCGAGCATTCTGACTTTTCTAAGGTAAGGCGGCCACTCGACGTGATCGGTAACCTGAACATGATAGACGTGGGTCTGAAACCTCCACATACGGAAAATATGCATAAACAGGTGTGCCAAAAAAAAAAAAACGGCGACGCTCCTTGCCATCGTTTTTGAGATACATATCTGTGAAAACCTTAGGGGTGTGACTGTGAGATTACCCCTCGGCACGGCTCGGTTAATATAACGATTGTTCAACGAATCGCACGAGAGTTTCAAGTAATGATTGCCTTTTTATTATTACCTATGAACTCTGGCAAATTGATCCATAAATTTAACTTGGGCAAACATATTATCAAGGAATATTTGGTAAGATGGTAGAATTCAAAATATCTGCTCTCCTCGGTCACACATCCGTTCTTTGGCATACATGCAAAATTGAAGGGAACTGTAGGGAATCAAAATCGCAAAATCCATTCAAAAATTATTATGTCGCTCATGAATTTACATCAGCGGTATACACTCGACGCATGTCTCATGTTGTAGGTACTACCTATTTGATTACTTTTTGTAGCACTTTTATAAAAATGAGCTTTGGTCACCTATCAAAAATACTTCAAGAACTGTTTAAATACTGACCAATACCTACAATGCATGAAACTATGTATATCATTGCTGGATGTTAATGCTAATTTAAGTCATTGGATAGCATAGGTATGTTTATCAAACCAGTCATCAAGTGTCAAAACAGTTACGACTTACGAATGACACAAACAACGCTTGCCTATTGAAACACATTTTCTAAAAATTAAAACTAACGTTTGATGCGCCGATGCCGACGCTAAACCAAAATAAATTGAACAATGCGAAAATAATGTTTCACCTGATAGTGACAAGCATTATATACAATTGCAAAAAGCCACTCAGCATACCTGTCAGACGACGGAGGTGACAAGAGCCTCACCCTATCTTAGAGGATGAGCAACATTCAACTGACCGCGGCCCCGAGGCTTCAGGCATTACGAAGCGCTGTGATTGGTGGATCATGATGGTCTGGTCACGTGACGATACCCAGCTGAGACGCTCACCGAAGCCCATAGCAACCAAAGCGCCAAGCTCTAAACAGGGGATGCAGTGCTGAGCTAGGTATTTTAGGGCGCTTCAGCCTTGAATGCAACAAAATAAGCAGCGTATTATCAGTTATCGAAACAATAAGGTACATTTGCAAGGAAGCGTATGCCAGGAATGATCTGCTAGCCTGCCTATGTAACGATAGGCACTGAATACCTACTGATCATTGAAAAGGCTCTTTGGTTGCAAAACCTACTGATCCCATTAATCAGGGTTGAGTTAAAAAAAATAAGAATGTAAAATAATGGAGCAGGCGGTGCTATATCACATGTCATGTGCATCAGCACCCAGAACTGGTTGGTAGAATGGTGTTCGTAGAATTCATGCCATAAGCTGGCAGATTTCCCAATAACACTGAATTTCGCCGCTCCAAGGTCGCGCGCGGTCGCCTGACATGCGCTGACATATGTGTCATTTACTTCCAAGTTTATGAATGGCCCACTCCAATTTTTTCACATATTGTTAAGAACACATGGCTCGTTATTATATACAAAAATGAGCAAAATCGAAGGTGACGTGTTTTTTGCTATTCAACTTTTTGAATTTCAAGTCGAATTCAAGTAAAGTTCAAGATCAAAAAGTTACTAATTTCTTGTAAAAAAAGAAAGTCGAAAGAATTGTCTATTGAATGAAGTTGAATTCATTAAAATGTGACGAGCGTATCCAAAGTTATGGCAAATCAAAAATATGACGGCCTTCAATTTTTTCAAAATTCAGTACCCTATAATTTTACAATTCCGGGTAGAAATGCAAAAAAAAAAAAACACTCATATTAATTGTTAGGAGGGATAGGTGAATCCGTCTACCAAGTTATATACAAATCGCCGGTGGTAAGGTGCAAATCAGCCCAATTTTGTTCGATTTGACGTGGAATGCCCCAGGTTTAACCCTCGCCGGCCGAGAAGAAGGGGTAATGCCGCCACAATGTATTTTTTTTTGCGGTAGCTCAAAGCACACTGATGATAGAAGGCTGACATTTCATATGCCTTGCATTTGATTCACGCCGGATCATTTGAAATCAACCACGTTTTCAGGTCAGGTCACTTAACCATGGCGTCTTAACCCTCGCCGGCCGAGGGGGGGGGGGGAGGCGGGTGCCGCCCCCAATAGGTTTTTTTTTCGCGATAGCTCCGAACACGCTGGCGAAAGAAAGCTGAAACTTGGCATACCTAACCTTTGATTCAAGCCGGATCTTTTGACACCAACCGCATTTTTGGGTCAGGTCAGGTCACTGACCTATGGCGTCATAAGTGAGTTTCTGCACGGTCTTCAGATGTCGCAACTTCGCAACGCCCTCACTGCCAGAGGAGATGTCACAGGGAAACAAAACTTGCAGGATCTAGTATCCATTATGAGTCTCACAACTTGTATATCTCGGATTTTTCCTAAAGATCATATGAGGTCAGGTCATTTTCGTGACCTCACCATTAGGTATAAGTCAATGGGGAAAAAATGAAAACTGCTGTTCTGGCGCCGGGAACGATCTCCAACTACCTCAAGCACACATAATCGTGATTTGATGCACTCCTTGCAAGGTTAGATGCGTCACTTCTGCAATGTTGACCTTGCGTGACGTCATTTATGACGTCATCAAGGTCATATTAGTTTTTCGTCAATAACTCCCGATCAAATTGAGCTAGCGAGTCGGGAAAGCCACCAATGGACTCAGGAAGACCTGCCGAATCGAATGCTATGCAACATGACCTCATCGACCAACTTCGTGACCTGGGGGTGCTGACCTGACCTTGACCTGAGGTCAACGCCCCAAGTTGACCTGACCCGGACAAAAAGTATATCATTCGACGCGCCTGAGCAAGGCGAACACGATGCTGCCAAAATCGCGGCTCTGCGGCCGTTTTTTGCGAAGTTATTCACCAAAAACTGAACCGTACCTTGGGGCACTTGACCTGACCTCAGAGGTCATCGGTTGACCTAGGACCTTAAAATCGGGTACCAATCTCTGCGTCTCGTAACGGCGCACACGCTCGTTTTTTTCCGCGACGCGCTAGCTCCACCTGGGGCGAAACGGCGAGGGGGGTCGTACCCGCCCCCCCTCCCTCGGCCGGCGCGTATGTAGAAAACCAATAGGTCCGGCGAGGGTTAAGTAAACCTCTGCACG